CTGAGAGAGAGAGAGATCATTGTGAGACACCAGGCAGTGTACAGATAACTCACTGGATCATGTCTGGGAAACAGTCTGTCCTTTTGCCAGGTTTCTGAAGGACTGGCTTCACTGTTAGAGCAATTATATAAAAAGTCAGAATGTTGAAAAATGACTTGGAAATTACCTGGCAAAGTCATGGATGGAATCATCTGTCAATGAGTTTTTCGAAAGATTAAGATGAGCCAAAACACAGCCTTCCTGGATTGTAGTAAAATATATTCAAGTCAGTCAATCAAACATGGAAATGAATCTTGCTATCAAGAGTTTAACTAGCAGGAATTCAGACTGATCGAATGATCAGCCAGCTCACTGAGATCTTCCTCCTTTAAGGAGTGCTCAAGCAGTTCTGATGGCAGAGTGTTAATATTGTATTTCAGGGGCCCAGGCTAATGCTTTGGGTCAGCATCTCTTGCTCATCTGTGTACAGCTAGTTACTTGCTTGGCCGGTTGGGAGGGCTGTTTGGAGTCAGCTCTCTGTGGTGACAAAAACGTGCGCTTGTGTTACCACATACATAAAACAGCCTCCTAGAATCCCACACAACTGGAGCTGTCACACTGTGTAATGTGAGAACAGTGTGACAGCTACCTTCTCAATGACATTTCCCACCACACTGGCTCAAGTCAAGACAGTCTCTTTGAAAAAACAAACAGGAAAGTCCCTCAGCCAGAGCTTCGAGTGACTGTGGGACAAAATGTCCAGCCCTGACAGCACCTAGTGTGATCCTTACCTGGGTGAGGTACCTCGCAACCAGCTCCAGGAATTGCCTGTCCTGGTTACAAGTTACCGAGGAGATCTCGAGATGTGAAAGGATGTCATGAGGAAGATTCTTCAGCAGAAACTGGACCCCTTTTAATCCCAGGTCGTTGTTGGAGAGGATCAGAGTTTTCAGGTGCCTCGTCCCTGAGCGAGTAAAGAACAGAGTTAGTGACTGGGCAGTGCATTATCAGATGGACAAGTCATTGCACTGTCACAGATCAGCTCAGGGAGGCTTTGAGCTAATCACCAACCCAAAATAATAACAATACTCAAATAACTCATCCACTAACAGATTGAAACACAGCTAAAACATTCCAGTCAGAATGTTTCCAATTCATTAGTGAGGACATACCTTTGACATTAAAATCACAAGGAATCTCCCAACACCAACACAGGGTCAGTGCTGAGGGAGCACCGCACTGTCGGAGGGGCCAGTGCTGAGGGCCTTGTTCACCCCCAGTCCAACATCAGCACCTCCATATCATGAAATGTGAAGTTATACACTTCAGTGTGAAAAACATACAGGCAGTGTATCATTTAAATGATGACATTTTGGGAAGTGTGAATGTGCAGTGGGATCTGGGGGTCCTTGTTTACAGCCAGTCAATGAAAGTAGATGGGCAGGTGCAGCAGGGAATTAGGAAGGCAAATGGTAAATTGGCCTTTGTTGCAAGAGGATTTGAGCTCAGAAATAAGGACGTCTTGCAGTAGTTATACACAGGGCCTTGGTGAGGTCTCCCTGCCTAAGAAAAGGTCAGAAGTTACATGACACCAGGTTACAGTCCAGCACTTTGTTTGAAATCACAAGCTTTCATTGCACTGCCCCTTCATCAGGTCACCTTGATTTATTGTCACATGTATCGAAATGCAGTGAAAAAGCTTTGTTTACGAGCTGTCTAGGCAGATCATAGCAAGCAGGATGTATAGATCAAAAAGACTGAGGCATACAGGTTACATTGCACAGGGCGTACACTAGCCAAGATCAACTTTAGCAAGATCAGCATTATTGGAGGCTAGAGAGTCCATTCATCAGTTTGATAACAGCCGAGAAGAAGCTGTTCCTGAACCTGCTGGTGCGTGTGTTCAGGTTTCTGCATCTTCTGCCTGATGGAAAAGGTTGTAGGAGATCATTATCGGGCTGCGATGGGTCTTTGATGATGTTGGTCACCTAATGAAGGGGCTATGCTCTGAAAGCTTGTGATTTCAATAAACCTATTGGACTATAACCTGGTGTTGTGTGATTTCTGACCTTTTCCACCCCAGTCCAACACCAGCACTTGCACATCATACCTTAGAAAATATATAGTTGCCATAGAGGCAATTGCTGTAATGTTCTGGAGTGGCAGATGGAGTTTAGCCCTGAAAAGTGTGAGGTGATTAATTTTGGAAGGACAAACTTGAAAGCAGATTACAGGGTTAACGGAAAGATTCTTGGCAGTGTGGAGGAGCAGAGGGATCTTGGGATTCATGTCCACAGTTCCCTGAAAGCTGCCACCCAGGTGGATAGAGTTGTTAAGAAGGCGTATGGTGTGTTAGCTTTCATTCATAGAGGGATTGAGTTCAAGAGCCGTGAAGTTATGCTCCAGCTATACAAAAGCCTGGTTTGACCACATCTGGAGTATTGTGTCCAGTTCTGGTTGCCTCATTACAGGAAAGATGTGGAAGCGTTGGAAAAGGTGCAGAGGTGATTTACCAGGATGTTGCCTGGACTTGAGGGAAGGTCTTACGAGGAAAGGTTGAGAGATCTAGAGCTTTTCTCTTTAGAACGACGAAGGATGAGAGGTGACTTGATAGAGGTGTACAAAATGATCAGAGGTATAGATAGAGTGGACAGCCAGAGACTTTTTCCTAGGGTGGGGTAGCTATTACGAGGGGGCATAGTTTTAAAAAGTGAGTGGAGGTAGATATAGGGGAGATGTCAGAGGTAGGTTCTTTACTCAGAGAGTAATTGGGGCGTGGAATGCATTGCCGGAGAGTGTAGTGGAGTCGGCCTCATTAGGGGCATTTAAGCGGCTATTAGTTAGGCATATGGATGATAGTATAAAGGCAAGGGTGGAGGTTAGATAGACCTTAGGATTAGGGTAAAAGTTCAGCACAACATCGTGGGCCGAAGGCCCTGTACTGTTCTATGTTCACTAGACTGATAGCGAGAAATGCAGATCTGTCGTAAGAGGAGAAAGTGGTTTGAATGGGCCTGTATTCACTAGAGTTGAGAAGGATGAGAAATGTATAAAATTCTAACAGGATCAGGCAGACCAGATGCGCAGGACTGAGATGAAAAAATATTTTTCACCCAAAGGTTAGGAAAGGTGTGGAATTCTATACCATGAGGGCTGTGGAGGCCAAGTCACTGATCGTATTCAAGAAAGAGATTGATACGTTTCTGGTTTTAAGGGTATGAAGGGGAATGGGGAGATAGTGGGAATATGGGATTTAGATGGAGGATCAGCCGTGATCATATTGAATGGTGGTGCAGACTTGAAGGGCTGAATGGCCTCCTCCTGCTCCTAGTTTCTGCGTTTCCAAGTGAGTGTGCACTTTCCTAGGATGGTCTGCCTCTAACTTGGACTTTGTCCTCTGTGCAAATCCCTGGGACTGTGATATCAGCCCTTCCAGCTGGAGACTGTATCTTATAGAGTCACACAGCGCAGAAGAGGCCCTTTGACCCAGCAACTCTGTGCTGACCGATCTACACTAGTCACACTTTACACCACAGCCTTGAATGTTGTGACATTTCACATGTTCATCCAAGTACTTTTTAAAAGGTTGTGTTTCCCATCTCAACCACCGTCCCAGGTAGAGCATTCCAAACTGTTGTAACTGTGTCTGGAAACTCCTTGCGAAAAGCTGAGGGGAGTGAAGGTGTTGTCACGATCTGAGTTCTATCTGTCTTTTACCTTTCATTGTGCAGGTCAGAGCGAAATTCTGCAGGAACTTGGCTGTGAGCCCACAGGCCTGGAGTTTGAGCGTGCTCAGTAGAGGGCAGGATTTGATGAGAGAGGCTATAGACTGAGAGCAGCCGTCACCCAAAGGATTGAGGCTGAGGTTCAACTCCTGCAGACTCTGAAACACAAAACAAAATTCATGTACTGAATTATTTTGGGTGTAAATTAAGATACTGTTACAATCTCCTCTGGCACCCACCACTGTGGTCTGTGTTAATTGTACCATTCTGGTTAAAAATCTCAGTAAAGTCACCATAGTTCTACCAGACTGAAAACAAACAAAAAAATTGCTGAAGATCACAGCAGGTCAGGCATTTCTCTCCATGGTTGCTGTCTGACCTGCTGTGATCTCCAGCATTTGTTGTTTTCAGCACACATTCTAGCATCTGCAGCAATTTGTTCCTACATAGTCCTACCAGACCTTCCAGGTTGTTCTCTCGTGACAGAGAGATAACTGGTGGTAGTTTAACCTGAGGGTCACCGTGCCTCAGGCACAGGGAGAGGTTGAGGAGGAGGGTCCTTCACGTTAACCTCAGCCAGTGCAGGAGTTAAACCCACACTAACAGTGTCACTGTCCGTCATAAACTGGCAGTCCAGCCAACTGAGCTAACCTGCCCCAAAGGTTAAAGATTAACTCAACAACAAAAACAAAGTTGCTGGAAAAGCTCAGCAAGTCTGGCAGCATCTGTGAAGGAGAAAAGAGTTAACGTTTTTGCAGTTCTGAGGAAGGGTCACCGGACCCGAAACGTTAACTCTGTTTTCTCCTCCACAGATGCTGCCAGACCTGCTGAGCTTTTCCAGCAACTTTGTTTTCGTTCCTGATTTACAGCATCTGCAGTTCTTTTGGTTTTTGTTAAAGATTGACTATCTTGAGGGGTCTGTCATATTTTACATTTGAACGGAGTTTTTAAAAGTTCTGCCTGTGTTTCAGGAGTGTTTCTGAACTTTGCTCACTGGTGAGGCGTTGGGCAGGCAGCTCAGAGGAGCTCCTCGGATTTCTGCCCCTGGCCCTGGCCAAAGGCACCATAAACATGTAGAGGCCTGGACAGAGTGGACATGGAGACGGTGTTTCCATGAGCAGGACCTGAGGGCCCAGCCTCACAGTAAAGGGACGACCCTTTAGAACTGAGATGAGGAGGAATTTCTTCAGTCAGAGGGTGGGGAATCTGTGGAACTCATTGTCATAGAAAGCTGTGGAGGCCATGTCATTGAGTGTATTTCAGACAGAGGTGGATAGGGTCCTGGTTAGTGAGGGGATGGAGGGTTACAGGGAG